CATTATTAGCATAATTTTAATTTAATTAAAAATTAGAATACAAATATACTATACTATACTAATATACCATTATATTATTTTCATTGTATATAAATTACAAAATTAATAATTTGTATACTATACTATACTATACTAATATATTATTTGTATACTATACTAATAGTATAATATACTATATTATAATATTATTTGTATAGAAAACTAATATCTTTATATATAAATATGAAAACATATAAATATATGTAAAAATATGAAGATATAAATATATAAAAATATAAATATATGTAAAAATATAAAGATATAAATATATCAATATATAAATATATCAATATTTAAATATATCAATATTTAAATATATATTCAAATATATAAATATATTTTTATTTATAGATTTAATATTTATATATTTATACTGGATATACATTTATTTGTATATAAATATAATTTATTTGTAAGTTATTATTAAAAGATCCTAGTAGCTCAGTGGTTGGAGTTTCAACCTCCAACTCTAAGGTACCGGGTTCGAATCTCGACAATGACAATAAACCACCTAATAATAAGTTAAACTTCTAAAAAATATAATATAATTAAGAGATAGGGAAAATAAATAATAGATATAATAAAAATGTAAATAAATAAAAATAATTAAATTTGTTATTCTTTTTCATTGATTTAGTGACTGAATCGATGACCGATTCCAGTTGGTCACTATTTCTGGTCACTATTTTAATTAGTAACCGATTTTGCACATTTAGTGACCGAATTTTTGGTCACTATTTGGTGTTTTTCTTGTAGTGATAATAAAATTTGGTAACATGATATTTTTTATTGTCATAATCAATTATGATGCATCAAAAATGGAAAAATGATTTTTTCTATCATAATTGATTATACTAGTAACATAATCAATTATGACAGTTCAAATTTGAAAGATATCTGTTTTGAAGAATAAATATTTTTTAATATATCCTGATTTTTTTCTCAGAAAGTATTAATGACTAATGACTATTTTATGATGTTATTTTTCTATTTAAATAATTTTTGATGAAAAATAAAATACACACAATTACAGGATTCGAAAATATAATTTACATTCAATCAATTCTGAGAAAAGAATTATGAACAAGGCAACATAAATATTTTACATGTTTTGATGAAACCATCTTCTCCATTGTAACAACAATATTTTCCAAAACTCTCTTCTCCATTGTTTAATGTGCTTTCATTGTTAATCACACTTGTTCTTGGAGATTGACATTCTACATGCTTCTTATTGTCTCCATTACCAGGTCTGACTGTTCTTATTTTATTATCTTCATCCTTTGTGGACTTAAGTGGTTGATTGTTAAATTTCCTATTTAAGATTTAAGTAGTCACTATCATTCTGTTGTGATTTTTTAGGGTTTTCTATGTGGAAACTATTCATCCCTTTGATTTGTTCAGGGATGTGTTTTCATCTTTTGATTTGATCAGAGGAGATGTTCATCCTTAGTGGGATTCTAGGGAGGTGTTCATCCTTAGTGAGATTCTAAGGAGGTGTGTTCATCATTTGATTTGTTCAAAGGAGGTGTTCATCCTTAGTGAGTTTCTAAGGATGTGATTGTCTTTTGAATTAGTTTATTTCTTGCTGAGTTGATTGTAATTTGTGAACTGAATTTAAAAGATAGTGAATTAGGTCACTCTTGTATTAAGAGTTGATTAGGAACTGGATGTAGGGTTGACTACACCCAAACCAAGTATAAACCACTCGTGTGCTCTTCTCTTTTCCTTATCTCTTTTTCACTGCATTACTCTTCTTACACCCCTTATTTTTATCTCTATCTTTCTCTATCTTGTTGATATTTCATTTCTCTGATTATATTGCTTCCGTTTTATCTTTGTTCAATTTGATAATTAAAATTGAATTAATAAATATTAGACATCTTAAAATAAATTTTTAATTTGATATTTATTTAATTTGTGCATCTATTCACCCTTTTAGATATCATTTGTATAATAATTATCCCTCACAAACTAACTCATTAAAACAACACAACTCCCAGGTACTTTCAATTTCACTTCATTCATAATATTTTATTGTTCTTTGAAACATGTGTTGATTATCCTAACAATACAATGAACTTAAAACTAAAATATTAAAATAAAAAAATTACAGTGTTGAAAATTTAAATATAAGTTAAAATATCATATTTAATAGAAATAAAAAAAATTAAATAATTTATGTGTGAGAAATATTAGTATTCTTGTATTTTTAAGTTTTTTTATGATAATATTATATTTTTTATATATTGAATTATGTTTATTTTTTAAAATTTTTAATATAAATTTCCTAAATAATATTTAATAATAAAAACTTTTGCACTTTTAATCTTTATTTGTTTTTAAATTTTTTTAATATAAATTTCCTAAATAATATATAATAATAAAAAACTTTGCACTTTTAATCTTTATTTGAATTGAAGAGTGAATTTGAAAAAGTGAAAAATGTAAAAAAGAAAGTAGAAATTGAGATGGTTTGAATTAAAGTAAAAATGAGTGGAAATTTAAATTGATTTATTTATTATTAGTAATTTTTTATTATTTTATTATAATTTTTAATTATTTATTATTATAATAAAAAATAAATATATTTTTTTACATAATTGATTATATTTTTATACAAATATAATATTTTTCATATATAATCATGATATAATCCATTATCTCAAAAATAAATTCACACTCGACGCCTTTCTTCATCTCTTTGCAGCGAAATTATTTTTATTTATTTTATTTTATTTTACATTGAAATCCATGAAATTATCGTATTTCATCGCCTTCATGTTTCCGTTGTTAGAATCCAACACACTATTAATTTCGATTCCAATACTCAATAACAAAAAAAAATCACCTTTTAATTTTGATAGAGAAAAATTAATATTTAAATATATCAAACTAATATAATAAATTTTATCCTAAGTAATAGAAATTACCTGATAGTAGACTCAATTTTATTTTAACAAAGTTACGAGCTACGTGCTGAAATGGTGAAATAAGATTTTGACAGTAGAATGGAAAATTGGTGGTAATTAATTGATGTGAAAAAGGTTGTACGAGATGGGAATTTTAGGTTATGACAACATGAGTGGAGTACATGTGGGGTTTGTCTATCCTCAAAACAACGTAGTTTAATTATTGTCCTAAGCAAGTGTTCCTTTGACGGTGTGACGAATTCATAGCAACACCATTATTAATGTTGTAAGATAAAATCATAGTTTTGAAAGGAACCGTGATTTCGAACACATCTTCACCCATCTTCAAAAGAGTTAAATTTATATGTTAATAGTCTCTTAAAAATAAAAAAAGTAAACTTTTTAAAATTTGGATACCATGATTTTAGTTTCTCAATTACTTAATTATCCTTTTTTTCTGTTCTTTATAAAATTCAATAAAATCTTTCAATTAATTTTAAAATATAACAATGTGCCTCTTTATAAACAAACGGCCATGTTAGGTATACCAAAATTACATACATTATTAGTATTAATAAACAATGATAATTAAACCTTTCTCAATTTACAGTTTTAAAAATTATAAATATTTGGTTTTCAAATTAAGTAAAAAGAAATTAAAATATTTTTTAAAATTTCAGAGACAAAAACCGGGTTCAATCTATTTTAGAAATTTAAATGATAATTAAAAACTTAGATGAAAAGAAATTGCAGCGACCCCGATGCACTTTTTTGTGGTTCTATTGTCGTTTACGAAAATTGTACATCAATCATTCAGACGTGAGAGTATGGTTGAAATTGATAATTTTCTTTTATAATAAATTGTTTTAGCAAAATAGACATGACATGTCATTATAAAAATTTGTACAATTTCCATTTTTCTGGTAAAGTGTTCCATTTGAAAAATGATAAGTATGTACTTGTACTAACAAATTAGGGAAAAGTATACAATATAGGTATTTATCTAAAAACAGTAAGTTTATTTTTAATAATTTTATTTGATTTATAATTACATTATTTTTTTCATAAGCATTTATGGGTTTAAAATTTTAACGGACTAGATTGTTCGAATAAAAAAATTTGAATGGTTTCTTTATCGTTCAAATGTATAATTTCTTGTTAATAAATAAATAAATAACTTTTTAAAATAATTTTCGTATTCATCATTTGTTTTAGGAACATTAAGAACAAATTAGTTAAAGATTAAATAAAAAGTAAAAATTAATTGATAAAAAATAATTAATGTTATCTTAAATTTTAGAAATAACTAATAAATGAAAACAAAATTTTTTAAAATTGTAGAATTAAAAAAAGTGATGGGAATGGATATTTTGTATCTCTAATATGGTAAAAAAATGAGAATAGGGGATAAATCATAGTGAAAGTAATGAACTTTGAATATTTAAATTTGTTGGAATTATTAATAGAATTCATATGTATGAATTGAATTTGAGGGATATTGGTTTTATAAGATGATGATGGTAACATATAATGTTAAAATGATGTAGGTGTAAGTTATAGTTTGGAGGTTTGTTTTTGTTGGTGAAAGAATGAAAGCAAAGGAAGTTTGTCCCACTATAATATAATTGAGCATGCGTCTTGGATGAGCATGAAGTGGACTTGACTTGATATCAAAAAGAAAGAAACATGATTAATGGAAAACTATGTGTGGTTCCTTCAAAGGAGAGAGAGGGGTAGCAGCTTTTTACTGTACAAAAATTTACCACTTTTGAACACACTTAGGGGAATGCCTCTTTTCTCTTTTTCTCAGCTAATGCACCAAACTGGCCCAACTGGGTTGGGGTTAGGCCCTTCCAAGTTTCATTATTACCTTCATCCAGATTTTTACTGTTTGAGAGTGTAAATAAACTCTGTAAACATACCAAAACCATGTTATTATATTTATTAAATTCCAATGTAACTGTTGATGATGCCGTGTGAATCAAAATATACACTTAACATGATGAAAGGAAAATAAAAGGAAGCCAACAAAGAGATATTCTTGGGGTCATGGTTAGTGGGTGGCCAAATCTATCATCAATTTCGAGTCCCCCATAACCCCCACTTCCTCGAGATTCTCACATTCTCAATACTTTTGGTTTAAAAATTTTGGGGTTTGGAACTTTACTGAATGGCCAAACACAGAGAATGTTGGATTCTTCATAGCCCCAAGAACATATTATCCATCTAATACATGAGCTAATCAACCTATAGGTTAAGTTTTTTTGAGCAATTCAGCACACCACAAAACTTGTAGCCTGCAAGTGGCCATATCTAGGCAAACATATACTGTCACTGCGGAATAAAATAAGCAAGGGTTTTGAATTTTGATCCTTTTACATCAAAACAAGGGGAAAAATTGCTATGGTTTGCTGTGAATCTGCATACTGTTCACTAGTACTAGTAAAATATAATTCTCTCTCTCATTGTCCAGTGTGATTCTTTGGCTTTACTTTCTTTGGTGTGAATAAATAATTGTTAAAGATCTTTTTGTTTTCCTTGGCATGTGCATGATTAAGGCACAAGTGAATTTCCCATTCTGTCCTTGCCATATACTCTCCCTGCCATGTGTCATTTGAATTTTAACTTCAATTGGTTCATTTTTAAGGCCATAACAATGCATTATCTTGTTTACAAACCTGGCTCTATGACAGGCATGCTATGCTAGTTCCTTTATATTATCAAAAGCCTGTCTTATTTTCTTGGGTCTGACACAAGGTTTTTGGTGAATGGGATTCTGCACTTATTTTGAAAATTACTGCTGAAGAAAGAACACTCACTCATTTGAGAACTGTTGTTATAGTCCCATTATCTTTATCCTTTAGTATTACTTCCATCAGGTGTGTCCGGTACTTTGTATTTGGTTCTTGGGTATTTCAATGGGCAAGCCAAGAAGAGGAGAAGATGCTCTTTGTTTTGTGGTTTTTTTCTGGTTTTGGAGCTCTTCCAATGCCTTGCTTTCTCCTAAGGGAGTGAACTTTGAAGGTAAACTTAAACTTTTGTCCTTTCTAGTTTCATAGATTTGTGCCAAAGCTTAACATTCATTCTATGTATTTAAATCAATTCATTGACGAGAATTATGAACTGAGTCTGTGTCTCTCTTAATGTAGTGGAAGCTTTAATGGGCATAAAAGCTTCTCTTGTGGATCCTCATGGCATTCTGGATAATTGGGATGCGGATGCAGTTGATCCATGCAGCTGGAATATGGTCACATGTTCCCCTGAGAATCTTGTTATTAGCCTGTGAGTCTCTCTCTTCAATCTTCTTCTACATTTTCAAGTTGGAATCGTTTCAAAACCAAGGATAAAATGTTGAACAGTCCACAGCAACAAGTTCCAAGTTTATGTTGGAAAATGTTCACAATTTGATGAACCTGGTTCTGCTTTGTGTAGGGGCATTCCCAGTCAAAATTTATCTGGTATTCTATCTCCAAGCATAGGAAACCTAACAAATCTTCAGACTGTGTAAGAATCAGAAAGCACTACGAATTTTAGAACTCTCAAGATGGTTGCTTCTTATATTCATTACTTTCATTGGCTCCAAGTTGGGTGTTTTGGACTACTTTTCAGGGTGCTACAAAATAACAACATAACTGGGTCAGTCCCTTCAGAGGTAGGAAAACTTTCCAAGCTTCAAACTCTTGATCTCTCTGACAACTTCTTCAATGGGGAAATTCCTCCCTCTCTGGGTCGCCTGAGAAGCCTCCAGTACTTGTAAGTATTTATGAGCTATGATTGAACCTTAGAATATGCCATATTGTCAGTTTCTACCTGGTTTCTTGAGCTAAATGGTTATTAAAATGGTTTCAGGAGGCTTAATAATAACAGTTTTGATGGAGAATGCCCAGTATCACTAGCGAACATGGCGCAGCTTGCTTTTCTGTAAACTTCATGACCCCTTTTTTTTTGTCTCTGCGTTAATTTTGTTGTTGTTTGTACTTCCAAAGATGACTTCTTGTTTGTGATTATCAATTCAGCGACTTGTCCTACAATAATCTGAGTGGCCCTATACCTAGAATTTCGGCCAAATCATTCAGGTAAAACTTTGTCTCTCTTTGATGACAACATTAATCAATGTATTTCTGTTTCTTCAAAATACAGAAAAATTTTGAGCTGACTTCAGTGTTCTTATTCCCTTGTGTTTTTTCAGTATTGTAGGAAACCCCCTAGTTTGCGCTACAGAAAAAGAAAAAAATTGCCATGGGATGACACTAATGCCTATGTCAATGAACTTGAACAGTACTGAGGGTAAGATCCTTTCACAATTGCTCATGAATTTCTTAAATTGAATGATTTTTCCAACAAAACTTTCTCTCATTTGTATTTTGATAATTCTTTATAGTAATGGTGCTAATGCTGATAGAAATTCTCTTTGCTTCCATAGATGCTTTACCATCTGGCAGAACAAAGGCTCACAAAATGGCCATTGCCTTTGGTCTGAGTCTTGCATGCCTTTGCTTGCTCGTTTTTGGTCTTGGACTTGTTTTATGGAGGAGGCACAAGCGTAAACAACAGGCATTCTTTGATGTTAAAGGTATACTTCCATATAAAACCTTTAGTTGAAGCTTAAATTTATTCATCTTCATTACACTATATACAAGGTTGTACTAAGGAAACCTATGTTAAAATTTGAACATATTTGATCCAATTATAATAGTTCCTCTAATTTCTGTCTTAATTCTTAATCACTATAGACCAGCATCATGAAGAAGTCTACCTTGGAAACTTGAAGAGGTTCCAATTAAGAGAACTCCAGATTGCTACTAACAACTTCAGCAACAAAAACATTCTGGGAAAGGGTGGTTTTGGAAATGTCTACAAGGGAATTCTCCCAGATGGCACTCTTGTGGCAGTCAAGAGGCTTAAAGATGGCAACGCCATTGGAGGAGATATACAATTTCAGACTGAAGTTGAAATGATCAGCTTGGCGGTGCACCGAAACCTCCTCAAATTGTATGGATTTTGCATGACACCAACAGAAAGGCTTTTGGTTTATCCTTACATGTCCAATGGAAGTGTTGCTTCTAGGCTCAAGGGTGAGTTCAGTTGTCGACATAATCACTTTCTTTTACAGTCCCTAATAGAGCTTTTGAATAAAAAGTGATTCTTGTATCAAACTTAGGCTTTATTTGAATATATTTCTCAATAACTATTTATAAGGGTAAGGAAATAAGAAAGTAAAACGAATGGAGCTCTTCTTATAAGTTAAAATCAATTAATGTCATTAACTCTTATCGAAACTCTCTTACCTAACTTGTCAAAAATTTGAGGTACATTAGTTAATTTTATCTTCCAGTTTTCTTATCTTTTAAGTAGTGGTTTGGAGAAATCTATCCAAATAAAGTCTTAAGCCAAAACAAACATGGAAATGTTTATATGGATAAACTTCTTCAGAAACATTTGTAAAAATAGGAAGTAGGAATGGAAAATGAAATAAGTTTATCAATAAGCTAAAATGGGCTTATACATAAACTAATTTGTAGAAACTCTAATATGTTAATGTCTTCAAAAGTTTATTTTTAACTTGTAAATTATTACTTTGAACTTATTTTAATTTATTTTTATCCTATTAGTGTTTCTGAAGAAATTTATCCAAACAGACTTGTAGTAGCATACTAGCTAATTTGAGTGGCTGATTCATATACCAATGATGGGTATTTCCAGGCAAACCAGTGTTGGATTGGGGCACAAGGAAGCAAATTGCCATAGGAGCAGCAAGGGGACTGCTATACCTTCATGAGCAGTGTGATCCAAAGATAATTCACAGAGATGTGAAGGCTGCAAATATATTGCTTGATGACTATTGTGAGGCAGTGGTAGGAGATTTTGGGTTGGCAAAGCTTTTAGATCACCAAGATTCACATGTCACAACTGCAGTGAGGGGCACAGTGGGGCATATTGCACCAGAGTATCTTTCCACAGGGCAATCTTCTGAGAAGACTGATGTCTTTGGATTTGGCATTCTGCTTCTTGAATTGATCACAGGCCAGAGGGCACTGGAATTTGGAAAAGCAGCCAACCAAAAAGGAGCCATGCTTGATTGGGTAAGTTTGTTTCCCTTTGTTGTTCATTTAAGTTCTTTTTTCCCATATACATTTTTGACACATTCATTCAGGTGAGGAAAATCCACCAAGACAAGAAGCTTGAGTTGCTTGTGGACAAGGATCTCAAGAACAGCTATGACAGGATTGAGCTTGAGGAAATTGTTCAAGTGGCACTCTTGTGCACACAATATCTTCCTGGCCAAAGGCCCAGAATGTCTGAAGTTGTACGCATGCTTGAAGGTGATGGCCTTGCAGAGAAATGGGAAGCTTCTCAAAGTGCTGACACCACCAAATGCAGCAAACCACATGAACTCTCTTCATCAGATAGGTATTCTGACCTCACTGATGACTCTTCTTTGTTGGTCCAAGCAATGGAACTCTCAGGCCCCAGATGAATTTTTCATAGTCATTTTTAGCTCTTTTACTTTCACTTTGTTTTTGTTTCTTATTTGAGTTTCTAGCTTCCCAAGGAAAGTATATGAAATTGAAGAACATGTGACAATTGAGTCATTTATATGTTGTATGATAGAAGAAGCCTTCAAATCTGAAAAGGGCTTTTTTTGGTTTTGCTTTTTCAAATGTATATATACTTATTTGTTGAGGATGAGTTTGTAGTGCAAAGTTTTGTAAAGTCACGAGAAATCAAATGAAAACCTTTACCAGGTTTTCAGTGAAATAGTTATTATTAAATGTTCTTTTGTTGCCTACTTTTTTTCATATGTTTCATGCTCAATATAAATTTATTGAATATTCATCATTTTGCCATTTTTGTTTGTTCTTTATTTCAATTTCACTTTGTAATTTTAATTTATTTATTGGTTTAGTTTATTTCTTTTGTCTTGCTGCGAATTTCACTAATTTTTTTTTATTAAACTTTTGGTTCCTTGAGAATTCTACATATAATTATCTCTCTCTATATATTATTATTAATTAATAAAAATAAAGTTTATATTAAATTTGAATTGAGTCCATTTTTATTGAATAGAAATGCATTTAATTCAACTTTGTTAAGTCCTATAGGATATTATACTTAGTTAATTGGATAATGTATTGTATTATAGTTAGTTAATTTTTCAAAAAATAAAAATATCAAATGAGAAAAATAATCTTTTTAATCTGATTACTATTTTTACATATTCTATATCGTGTTCCTTTATATTGCATTGTTATAACGATTTACCAGATAAAATAATATTATATATACATATTATAATTTCAAATTATATATATGTATTAATTTGTTTTTTAAAACTCAAAATTTAAATATTTACTTTAATTATCTACATTTTTTTTACTTTTATAAAAATCAATAATGAATAATTAAGAGATTATTACGTAAAAAAAACTTACGTACCACAATTATGGGGACTAAAACTAAAAAAAATTATAAATTTTGTAAAATATGAAAAACCAAAATTAAAATTAAGCCTTTTAATTATATTTAACAGTTTCATTTTTATTAGTTGGTTGAGAAGAAAACAAACGGGCCAGAGACAGCAATTCTCTTTCCACATCTATACTTTCTTCACGCACCCATATTTATTTTAATAGAATAAATAATAATATTCTTATTTTATGAAACATAGTACGGAATATTTCTGATTAAATTTTAAAAAAATATTAGATAAATAGATCTAAAAATATATAATTTTTTAAAATTCCAATTATAAAATCTTGAATTTATCTTAATCGGAAATAGTGAATTTAGAAGTTATTTATAGTAATATTATATTTTTAGATAAATTTATTCAACATACATTATAATTATCTTTTGATTGTTTTTTCTTGCATTTTAATAATTTGTTAAAAATGCTATATAATATATATAAAAGCTAATTTTCCTCTTTTGCATTCAAGCATCATTTTTCTTTTAAGATTAAAATTTTGTAGGTGATTTATGCTTTGAATAATATAATATATTATATATCCAAAATTTCATAAAAAAATATATTTAATTTGTATTTGTGGTGTTATAAATTGTTGAATTCAAAATACATCTCCAAAATATATTATAGAAATAAATTCTGAATAAACTAATCAGCATCTCATTTTCGGATAGTATTTTTTAAAACAATTTTCTAGAATTTTTTTGAAAAGATTAATACGAAAAATATATAAAATAAACTTTTTATAACCTATTTAGAAGAACAATGTTATCATTTCAGAGGGAAAGAAAGTAGGAGAGAGCCTTATTCTTTAAGACTACATGTTTTGTTTGTAAATAGCATTCTAAAAAGAAAATAAATAATATACGGGCCGGTAAGTTGTGGGCCTAGCCCAATCCTGCCCATTTAAGATCAAAACGGTGAAGTAGCAAATTAGGGTTTTGTTTTGTGTTTCTGAGGCGGTACTCTGTGAGAGAGAGAGGAAGAGGGAAACATGAAGACGATTCTTTCTTCCGAGACGATGGACATTCCAGAAGGCGTGAGCATCAAGGTTCACGCTAAGGTGATCGAGGTGGAGGGACCTCGTGGAAAATTGGTGCGAGATTTCAAACATCTCAACCTCGATTTTCAGCTCATCACCGACGAGAAAGGGAAGAAGAAGCTGAAGGTTGACGCCTGGTTTGGGTCTCGCAAAACCTCCGCCGCTATTCGTACCGCCCTCAGCCATGTCGACAACCTCATCACTGGCGTCACCAAGGGCTACCGCTACAAAATGAGGTTCGTCTACGCTCACTTCCCCATCAACGCCAGCATAGCCAACAACAACAAGTCCATCGAAATCCGAAACTTCCTTGGCGAGAAGAAGGTCCATTTTTAAATTTGTTATCGTTTAATTTCTTATTTATTTGTTTTTTATTAAATATGCTTTTATTTTTCTGTGAAATATGTCGTAAACATCCTTGCTTAGTTATTTAATATCGTAGTCAATAATCCGAAGCATCCTATACGAGTGCTGCATAAAAAAAATTCAATGAAACGTGAGAATTTGATTATTAAATTTCTTTTGACTAGACAAAAAAATTGCCTTTTTAACATTCTCACAATGTTTAATGTTAAAAGTAAGCAAATTAGGTTCCCAAGTGTTGTTTTTACATGAATTTTCTCCTTTAAATTCCAATTGAATAAATTAGATCTTTAGGTATCACTACGGTGCAATTTTAAATTACTAGCCTAATTTTGTTAAACTTTTAATTTAGTGAATTTTATTGATGTAAAAACTGGACATTTTTAATGTTTTCCCTCTCAGAATGATGTTTGGAGTTAATTAGGTTCCCTAGTAGTGTGTTTGCATGATTTTGTCTTCCAATCCTATAAATTAGATCCATAGGTATATAACTATTCTGCGATTTTGATTTACTCGCCAATACTTTATTAAATAGATCTTGGTATATCATTCCCAAATATTGTGCTAATATAATTTTGGTCTGTTAAATTCCAATTGTATAAAATAGATCTTACACAGCACTATTCTGAGTTTTTTATTTACTCGCCAATTTTTCGTTGAATATTAGATGGATATTGTTGAGGTAAAAGTTGCATTTTAATCTCTGTGTTCTGATGTCAATAATACGCTAATTGGGTTTCCAATTATAGTATTAATATGATTTTTGTCTTTTAAATTTCAATTGTATAAATTAGATCTTTCCGATGTTGACTTGTTGACTAAATCTTTTTTGTTTAATATTTAACAAATCTTATGGTGTAACTGGTGGATGACATTATGTCAATAAAATTTTGGTTACAGGTGAGAAAAGTGGATATGCTTGACGGTGTGTCTGTTGTTCGATCTGAAAAGGTGAAGGACGAGTTGGTTTTGGATGGAAATGATATAGAACTTGTTTCGAGGTCTTGTGCTCTCATTAACCAGGTATGTTTATGTCATTTTATCCAACCTTTGTCTAATTTACTCTTGTTTAGACTCTAATTTGTGTTTTTTTACTTGTTTGCTTTGCTACAGAAATGCCATGTTAAAAACAAGGATATTCGGAAGTTTCTTGATGGTATTTACGTCAGTGAGAAGGGAACAATAGTAGAAGAGTAGTGTAGACCATCCTGCCTTTTTTTAGTGTGGACCTCCTTTTTTATTGTTATATTTTTGAGATTGGATTTACAATTTTGTGTTATCAAACTTTTCGGAAATATTTTACTTACATGCATTGAATGAAATATTTGCTTTAAATATTCTTATTTGTGTAGTGTGACACACGAATGCTTATCTCGGGTGAATGTCAAAATAGTGCAATGAATGATTGTGGTTCATATGCAGTCGCATTTAAGAATTTATTATTAGAGTGGGCTTGATTACTATTTTAAAAAACTTTTTGGTTTTTAAAATGCATTAGGATTACTCATACAGCTGGTGGAGGGTGTTGTAAGACAGAGTAGGTTGTGTATTTGAAACAGAGACTCAGTATAATCAAAAGATGAGTCAAAAAATGGGAAAAACACCTAGCTGTCTGTTTTTCTGTTCTTAGATCATTTGTATTGGAAATAACTAATAAATGTTGGATGAGGAATGGATTGTGGAGTGTGTGGAGTTATTTTAGAGATTAATTAGTACTTTATATATCAACTTATTTTACTCTTTAAATCTTAATTATTATAGTGCAATGTTCTTTAGTATGAAAGGCATTATTAGGAAAAAAATCTTTAACTTACAAGTCCAAGGTCATACTGTAATGAGAGGTATATAGTAAGATGAAAACAAAAACCCACAACTAAGCGTCAAAGGACATTGCTATTGGCACTGTATGTTCAACCCCAAAATTTTGCTATTTCTCTTTTTAAAAAAGAGTATTGATATATTTCGAACATATATCTAGTTGATAACTGTTTTCTAATATTATTATAATAATAATATCAACTACTTTTACTATTAATTAATATATAATGGTGACATTTTATATTATTATTAAAAAGCAATTGTTCTTTTGGTATATATGTCGCAAACTCAATTATAAATATATCGTTTTTTTTACAAAATATATCAAAGAAAAGTTAGTATATGTTTTGCTAATATTTTGAAAATAAATTAACTCAACAAAATAGAAGGGTTCAACCAAGAATGTAACTAATATCTAAAACAAAATTTTTAATAAGAACACAAATTCATAATAAAAAAACATAACTGTGAAAAAACAATGTTAATTGATCTTTAAACTTTACAAATCAGAATTTGATTATTTTTGCTTCTACATTTCTAGAGTGATTATGTTGCACTTTGTTATGAGAAATGTCAATTTTAACTTTATTATCACATAAATGGTCAATTTTAGAGTTGGAAGTAAAATTATTAAAAGTAATAACGTATTTAACTCAATTTTATATCATTAATCGTAAAGTGAATTATATTTATCTTTATATCATAATATTATTGTATTTTAGTCATTGAGATTTTTTATTATACTTCTTTATTTTTATGTCTATTTTCGTCGTATCACAGACCTGAAGAAAGAGTTTTCATTGTACTCCCTTGTTTTAGAACGATTTTTTCATTATATCCATTCACATCAATGAAGATTTTTTCATCAAAACAAATTTCAATTAACAACCTTTTATATCTAAAGGAGTTTCAACAATTTCTTTCATAATCCCACTTTTATTCATAATAATGAAATGTTTGAATGCAATGTTATAATATATAATAACAATAATAATAAAAAATATTTTATATCTGCATAAAAAATAATTAAATATTTTTTTATATATATTTTAATATAAATATAATAAATTAAAGTATATACTTAATTAACAATCATAATTAAAAAACTACAAATATTTATTTACATATAAGAATATAAAAAAATTAAAATTAACTTATAATAAATATAATTAGTTTTTAGAAACAATGTAGAACATTGATGGATACGGACGGAGAAACTCAGAACCTAATAAAAATGAAGACAAAAATTTAATTTCTAATATCAATTGAGATAAAGATTATTAAAACAATTAAACCTGAGAGTTGGAGAGACAAAATTCACCCGTCCTATTTCATTGTCAGGTTTACTTAACATCTATTTGAAATTCATTATTTTTAATGATTAAGATTAAAATTAGGATTAAACGATACCTAGACCTTGATTTAAGATTCAATATCCATTATAATACTAGAAGGTCTCTATCTGGATTGTGATGAGATTAAAACAAATAAGAATCAGTAAAGTTTGAAATTTTATCACAGAATAACAAAAGTTAAAAGAAGAAATTAAGGTTCTAGTATCAAGACCAAAATACAGGGTGAACATATATTTTTATTTTTTGTTGTCTTATAATAATTTTGTTCATTGTACAGTAAATAAATAAATAAATAAATAAAAGAAAAAATATAAATTAATTTAAACGATAGAAATAATGAAAAAAATAAAAAAATGAATCCCTTGATACAAGAGGTTAGACTAATTCAATGCAATTTGATAAGTACCATCAGCATAATCTCATTAATGCAACTTAATAAAATTAATACCATACAAATGCTTCAATTTTTATCTCAAACAAAAGAAAAAAAAGCCGTGAATATAACACTCACTAGATAAAGTGAGTTCCTCTAGGGGAATCGAACTTTCAATAAAGAAAATTGTTTTGCCGTCTTCCTAAACGGATATACCTTTTTTATATTGTATGATTGAATGAGCGAATGCAAATTTTGCTTGCACTTTTTTATTTGTCTTCGTGGACATGAATATTTTACCTAAAAAATAGACACACAAAGAAAAATAAAAATGAATTATACTATCTTTCAAGTCCATGGGAGATTCGGCCACGTGATTGCTTTATACCCATTGTGAGAGATGAAATTGGTAATCCAAAATCTTAAAGCGAGGAAGAAAAGAGAAGTTTAATTGCACTTTTTCGCTTTAAATTTCAGGTTGTCATGGTCTAGGAATATTAGAATAATCTAAATCTGCAATGCCATTTGTTACATGTTGCTGTTGGCATTCACTTTTCTTTCCCACAGGGAGGAAGATTCACATTTCATGGTTACAATTGCAAAGCAACGAAGAAACCAAACCAGAGTTCACAGGTAAGTGTTCAGAGGTTAGAATATTCTTGGTTTAACTCCATACACTAGAAATTTCACAAACACTCCCATGTGAGGGGATATATAAATCCTTTTTAGATTACCTTTCAAATATTGGACAATTTCCAATCTAGAATTAAAGGGTTCGTCATTCACCTTTAATAGCATAAACACTCTCATTATTAAATTTTGCTCAGTATGTTTAACCTATGTCTTCTCTATAGATTTGCTAGTTCAAATACCATATAAGAATTAAAGTGTTCCTAGGTGGTCCTCAAAGTGGCTGCACTTTTTACTTTTAAAAGCCATGAACTACACGTGTAATGAAGTTTAGACAAAGAATGTAGATGTTGTTGTTACATATTTGTACGGGTTTATACTTTTCTTTGTGCTGGTCTACTGGATATCTCACTAATGTCCACCAACTATTTGATGAGCTTCAGATAGTTACTTCCACCCTGGCAATTGATTCTGAAGACAAAAGAAGTACTCTACTTTAATTCGGTCAAGTTTTCCTTTCTTTACTTCTGGTTTCAGGTCCATACAAATTGAATTTTTTCAATTAAATTGTTATAATTTGTTAATATATGGTTAAGTTTTTGTTATTATCACAAGGTAATTTGGCCAGCTGAATCTATTTGTATTCATATCTGGCATATTAGTCATCTTAATTCAATTTGGAATGTTAAAACTAGTGTGATATATGAATGGATCTATAAGATAATTATTGGCATATATAGCAAACTTTAAGATCTTCATATTTATAGTCATATTCCAAATTAAGTACTATGGTGGACCTACAACTGGATTTGGAGAAAATATATAAATATGAATTTGATACTAATGCTTTAATTCCCGTATTTGTAGGTTGAACAGGAATGATAAATATGATAATACTAATATTATGCTTCATCATGGTGTGAGCCCCAGGGGCATCAATAAGACCCTCTCAAGCATAAATGGTTAATCTTTTTCACTCTTTCTAAATGGCATATGCCACATAGTGTGAATGAAAGTGCAAAAGAACAGTTTAGCTGCACTTTTAGCCATCGTGGAACTGAATATTTCACAAAAGGAACAACACATGAAAGAGTTAAATGAAGGTATGGGAAAGTCTACTATGCATGCAATGACAATGCTTAATGTTTATCCATTGTGTGTGATGAGAATGTTATTAATCTCAAATTTGAAAATAGGAAGAAAGAGAAATTCACACTGCACTGAACTTAGTGACTTTAAATTTCGGTTGTCATGGTCTTCGAATATCAGAATAATCTATATCTGCAATGTCATTGGTTACAGGTTACCTTTAGCACTCGCCATTCTCCTCCACAAAGAGGAAGATTCACGTTTCATGGCTGCAAAATAGTGACACCAGAGAGGTACTGATGCACGCTGCAAAGGTTGAGTTGTTGGAATATTCTAAGAGCCTCTTCGTACACACTAAAGTGCATGTCCCTTCCACACTCCATTTTCTTAAAGAAGAAAAAATTATCTTAAATATAGCTTTTGTGAGTCTTTTAAACATTAATGTATATTTGAATTGATCAGTTAAAATGAATCAAGCAGACTTTTTATGCTTTAAATATGTCTCTCACAAGAGAAATTTGTCGGTCAAACTGATGCATTTCATGTATTGCAAAAAAAAAAATATACCAGTAACTGGCTGTGTCTAATGCAGTTCCTGTAACTTGTTATTACAATAATTTAAACAATAAGGTGAGGAAAATTGAATAGAAGGAAAATGCGTGATATAATATGAATAATTTAACGCAAACAAGTAATAAGAAAAAGGTGTTGTAAAAATTGTTGGAGAGAACAATGTTACTACTGCTTGTAGTTGAGTTTGAAACTAGAGTAGAAATAAGCTTGAGGAAATATTGGTAAAGTACTCCATAGTTCAAAGTCATTGTGTGAAGTAAGTGGTCCGAAAAAGTGTGTGCACTTTTATTCTTTAGGGAAGGAACGAGATAGAAGCAGAACAAACATCCTGGAGATTGCTTTATTCCCATTGTGTGATATGCTAGTATTCTGAAATCTGAAAGAGCCAAAGAAAAGGGAAGTTTACTTGCACTTTTTCACTTTAGATTTAAGGCTACAATGGTTAGGAACATTGCAATGATCTATATCTGCAACGCCATTTGTTAAATTTTTAGTGCTACATGTCACTACCTTCCCCCACTCACTGGAAGATTCATAAGTCATAGTCACATACACTCCACTGTCTATGCACAGATCATTACTTAACTTGACACAGTGATTAAATCCTTTCATAACCAACGAATTTACTAAGAGCAGAGCATATAATAAGGAGTAACTTGAGATTTTGACTGGTGCATAAATATAGAATCTACCTGGACCCAAAGTGACACATGTCTCCAAGTTGTAGAACCATGACGACATGAACAAAGGCCTCAACATCCCTTTAATGATTCCAAAAGGCAAAGAAGCAATATGCACAGGTCCAACCACAACAAAAACCCCATCTCCTAGTATTTTAGTACCAATCAAAGGAATCACACAGTAAATAACACTGAATAAAGATAATTACAGATGACAACTTTTTCTATAAATATTTATATAGTTGTATGTACAAAAATTAAAACTCGAAACTACTGATTATTAAATTGAAACAACTCGTCTCCATTCTGTGTATCTGAAATCGATACTTGACAGCGCTGATTAAACTGAAAATAATCCATACCAGCTTTCCTTGCTTTTGGTGGTCCTCTATCATATTCAATCCTGAAACACAACCAACCACAAGATAAGCAAGAACTTGTGCAGGCCACTAACTTTCTGCCACGATGGCACCGTTGATTCTCCCCCAACACTACTTGGTTCACCTCACTGAACTCAACCCTTCACTCAAACTCACTTCACTTCCAAACTCAACTCACAAACCCTCTTGACTTCGCTTTCTCCAAAACACACAAACATACACAAAATCCAACCGAACACAAACACCACTCCACCCCTCATACAATATTTTCACACACAACATGTTGAAGGAAGGCACCAACAACGTTGGTGGCAGCACCAGCACCTGGTCACGTGTCTGCGACACGTGCCGGTCAGCTCCATGCATAGTGTACTGTCATGCAGACTCAGCATACCTATGTTCATCCTGTGATGCTCGTGTCCATGCAGCTAACCGTGTGGCCTCCAGGCACGAGCGTGTGTGGGTGTGTGAAGCGTGTGAACGTGCTCCCGCAGCGTTTCTTTGCAAAGCTGACGCAGCTTCTCTTTGTTCATCATGCGATGCTGACATTCACTCCGCAAACCCTCTCGCCAGCCGCCACCACCGTGTCCCCATTCTCCCCATCTCGGGTTCCCTCTTCGGGGAACCAGATCACGAACCTGAACACGGGTTCGTGAACGAGGTGGAAGAGGCTTTTTTTGAGTATGATGATGAGATTGAAGCTGCTTCGTGGTTGTTGCCACATCCTGTGAAGGGTAACGAAGAGGATGAGAATGGTTTTTTGTATGGTGATGAGTATTTGGAGAACCTTGTGGATTGTAACTCGTGTGGTCACAATAATAACCAGTTTAGCAACGTTTATCAGCACCAGCAGAACTTCATCACTGTCCCTCAGAACTATGCAGTCGTTCCAGTTCAGGGGTTGCAACAAGCGCAGCATTTTCAGACGGGGTTGGAGTTTGACTCATCAAAAGCTGGGTTCAGTTACGATGGTTCGCTTAGTCAAAGTGTAAGGGTCTTCCTCTTAGTCATAGTTTTACTTTTTCCTAACTGGTTTGATCATTCTCAATTGAATCATACTCTATCAGAATTTTACTCTGACCTATGCTGACTTTTCCTTCCAACTGCCAATTTCTTTGCTTTTTCCTTCCATTTCAAAAGACTTTGTGAATTTCAGTAATAATCTTTATCATAGTTTTTTCCCAATTTATGACAGCAAGAAATTACTAGACAAACATTGTTCATACAATTTTAAGTTTATTATTGAAAAGTCTAAAAATTCTAATGTTGTAGTTGAAATTTCACTTACATACTGATTTTTAAAACCTTGTTTGGAACCAAAGATGGATTCAGAAGTAGTTTCCCATGCCATGTTACTCTGATTCATTTCACTACGTTTCATATTTCTTGGACTACCCTCTTTTAATTCACCTTTTTGTCTTTAGAAACTTCATTTTTTGTCAAATATAAGAGTTTAACCCTTTTTACTGTTTCTTGTATTTGCTAGCTAGTATTAGCTGTGACACCTTATAAACTTACTTTAAAGGGTAACTTTTCACCAGTGTTCATCCCTAAACTTTGTTTTCAATCTCATTTCAACATAATTCATCTATTGTGTATCAATTTCCCTTACTTTTGAAGCTTCGATCAATACAAAAAATTGAGCCTCGGAGCCTCTTTCTTAAGCCAAAATATGGGGGGATTAATTTGTTCAACACCTTTCTTTTACTTCATTTTTTTTCTTTTCATCTTCTCTTTTTGTGATTTCTACTTCCTTCTACTTTTCGCTTTTTATTATACATTTTTTCTTCTTTTCACCCTACCTTGTTTGTGAGATGTGAAACCAATATTAGCTCAACAAAAAGGGTTAGCCATTAGCATACTGTTTACAAAATTTATCACGACCATGTGATCCCTTTATCTTCTTGTTATCTTTGTGCTTTGCAATGACCTTTTTGTTCTTATTAATTTAGGTATCAGTTTCATCAATGGATGTTGGTGTTGTCCCTGAATCAACAATAAGTGACATCTCAATGTCCTATTCAAAGTCACCAATAGGGACAGGAGACCTATTTCCTCCCCTTTTCATGCCTTCACACCTTACACCACTGGACAGAGAGGCCAGAGTCCTAAGATACAGGGAGAAAAAGAAGACAAGAAAGTTTGAAAAGAAAATAAGGTATGCCTCAAGGAAGGCTTATGCAGAAACTAGACCACGCATTAAGGGTCGATTTGCAAAGAGAACTGATGTGGACCAAATGCTCTCCACGACACTATTCACCGAAGTTGGAGGTACCATTTTCCCATCTTTCTAGAATGGAAAGAAATTATCAATGGCCAAGACATGGAAGAGAATTTTGAGAAACACATCATTGGAAGGCACCACCACTTAATGTAATTTTTATGCTGTCTAATTAGATTGGACTTATCATATATTTTATTTTTCTATACTTATGCTTTATAAATATAGTCCTTATATATTAACTCAGCTAAATGATTGTCTCTGTACACCTTCCTTCTCAAATTTTTGCCTTATAATTCAATTTCTCAGTTTTGTTGTCAGTTTTTATTTTTCTACACATTTGTATTTGTTCATCTCTTCTAGGTATAATGTCATTCATCCAATTAACATTCAGTGGGAAAATATTAAATTGAATTCATAATAACTACTAGTTTACTCTTGAAATTTCACTTCTATATACAGCAAAAAATTGTTTGTCTTCCACCTCAAAATGAAGCCTAGTACATAATCCTTTAGTTCAGTTTGATGCTTCAAACTGTTGTTTCTTATGAACCAACCAGTTTCATATATACATATAGTCAGAGAATTCTTAGGAAAAGTAAAACCAGGAGTTCAATATTGCATTTACTTGTAGGTCAGGTTAAGCAATTTGTCTTGTGAAAATGTGTGTCCTGTCTCTTAATTGAACCATTGGGAACTTCTCCATATCTTTCACTTAAATCAAATTATTATCAGTCATATTTATCGATATGAAGGTGGTGATCGATAATTCAATATAATTACATTACAGTATTATTTACCTTTAACAATATTCAAAAAATATTGTTAAAACTATTGGTTAATAATTCAACTATTCATAATGATTGATTTGACTAAGACGTTAGGCTCAATTAATTTTTTATTTTTTGTAATAATGTTGTAATAGTAATAATTTTTTATTATTTTCATTTTTTTAGTACCTCCTTGATATCATTTTTCTCTCTTACTCCATCCAAGATTTTTTCTACTAACAGTGTTCGACCTGGTTTTTGTGGTAATAAAAGTAATACATAGTCTATAATTGCAACAAATATGAGAGCAAAGGATCGGACAATAAAGAAGAAGAAATAAATGTGGCATAAAAGGAAGACTTTGAGGATGAAGTTTTGTTGATGATGACCATGACAAAACCAAAGAAAACATACGAAAAATCTTGATATTTGGATACAATTTGTTCTAATCATATGTCATTTTAGAAGTGTTGGTTTATCAAATTGGATGAAAAAGATTAAAACTAAGGTGAAGTTTGCAAATAATTCTATAGTAAATTATGAAGGAAAATGAAAGATTTTGATTAGAAGAAAAGATAAAAAATCTATAATAATTTCATATATGCTTTATGTCCTAGTCATGAAACACAACCTATTGAATATTGGTAAGCTTATGCAAAAAGGGTTAATCAATTGGAGATCGAATGAACAAATGTTGAATTTTTTTTATAAAAATGGAATACTAATTTTGAAGGTTCCTCTAAGCAATAATAGGACATTTAAAGTTGAGATTTTAGTATCGAATCATGTGTTTTCTAGCAGCAGTTTTAATGTCAACTGATTATGACATTTAGGATATGATCGCTTGAATTTTGATAGCCTGAATTAACTAGTAGAGAAGGAGATGGTGATGAGATTGTCTTAAATTCAGAAGAGTGAAGTTAGCTGTGAAAGTTGCATGATTGAAAAACAAGCAAGAAATCCCTTTAAGATGTATATCGAAACTAGGAGTAAAGGAGTGTTAGAAGTATTCTACACTTATGTATATGGACCTTTCAAAGTATCCTCATTTGGTGGAAACATGTATTTTGTTACATTTATCAATGATTTCAATCAAAAGATATAACTATATCTGCTTGAGAGGAAATAAGAAGTTTTCAATTGTTTTGTCAAGTTCAAAAAGTTGGTCGAGCAACAAATTGACAAAGTTATTAAAATGTTGAGATCAGTCATTGATGGTGAGTACAATAATGATGAATTTGCATCATTTTGCAAGAAAAAATTATTATATATGAGATTGTATCCCATATATATACACCACAACACAATAGTATTGCTGAAAGAAGAAATCGAAGAATTCTTAACATGGTCAGAATTATGTTGAAAAGCAAAAGTCTACCACATTTTTTTTAGGTGAAGTAGTTGCTACTACAACTATTTTGAATTGATGCACAACTAGGAGAATTAAGGAGAAGACACTAGAAGAAGTTAGGTACAAGAAAAAGCTTAGGGTAAAGCATTTGAAGGTATTTGGTTTGATTTGTTAAATACACGTTCTCGATGAAAGAAGAAACCTCTATTTCAAATGTGAGAAACTAATTTTGGTTGGATATCATCCAGTAGGAGCTTATAAGTTGTATGATCATGTCATAAAGAAAATCATCATCGATAAAGATGTTATAGTCAATGAGAAAGCCAACTAAGATTGGAATTCGATGGAGAGGAACCAGAGTATCAATTTTGATGTTTAATTTGATGATCAAGAAATCAATGGATGAAGAAATCGATTCAAGAAGAAATTGATTGATTCAAGAAATCAATGGATCAATTTAAGAAATTGATCAACGAGTAGTGATAAGAGAAAGAAATTGACCAATAAGAACAATAAGAGCACCAACAATAGTCAATGATTACGTGATAAATATTGATGATACAGTTGTAGTAATAGGATAAATTATCAGAGAAACAGGGGATGAAAATATCAATCAAGGATTTCAAAAGAAAGATGAAGGATCTGTTTGAGATGATTGATCTAGGAAGGTTGTCGTATTTTTTGGGTATGGAGTTTATCGAAGGCAAGAGAGGGATTTTAGTTCACCAAAGTAAATTTTCTAAATAAGTGTTAAATGTAACCCGACAACTACATCAATTGAAGCAAATTTAAAGTTAGACAAAGATGAAGAGGGGAAACTTGTAAATGTTATGATTTACAGACAAATGGTTGGTTATCTGAGGTATCTTTATTGTAATAGACCAGATATTTATTTTGGTATTAGTTTGCTAAGCACATTCATGGAGAAACGCAAAACATCTCACTTTGCAACATTAGAAGAATTTTGAGGTACATAAGAGGAATAAACAATTATGGTATTTTGTTATTGTTGAAATTATTAATTGGTTGTTAGAATAATTAATTAGGTGCACCTATATCTTCTACCTCATAATTCTGCCCCTTGACCTTCCATCTACTTAGTGTATTTTATCATTATAAATAAGATACCATGTTAGAGGTGTGATTAAGCCCTCTAAAACTATTTTCTCTCTTTTATTTTATCTTAAGTTGGTATTAGAGCTGGTTAATCCCGCTATGTTGGTCTATTGTCTACCTTCGGCACCATTTTCCGTCGTCCTCCGGCCATCTTACCGTCCTCGTCCTTCGCTGGTCGCCATCGTTTGTCGTCACCGATTGGGTCCTTCTTTCCTGTTTACTTGAAGATTTGTTTCTAGGTTTCTTAAGTTAAACCTAAAGTTGCAAGTTGATATTATAAAAAATGTCTTTATACCTGTGTTATCCTTCTCAAGACTCTTTCAATTACCGCTGAAAAGTTAAATGGAAAAAATAATCTATCTTTGTGCCTTATTATGGCAAGAGACTAAGAATATTTTCACAAATGATATTTAGCACCTCTATGATTCTGCCAATATACTTGCCTCTCTTAAACAATTAGACCATGATATGATAACTTTCATGAGTAAAGCTCAATCTACTGTTGAAGAACTAAAGATGTTCTTGGAGGATGAGTCTTTAGGAGAAACTAAGAAGAAACTGGATAAATTCTATATGGTTATGATTTTTCGTGTCATACATCCAAATTTTGAACATGTTAGAGATCAACTATTAACAGGTCATGAAATTCCATCCATAAAAAGTTTGACTACAAGACTTCTTCGGATTCCTATAAGTGAAAACAAGAACTTTCAAGAGGCTATGTAATCTTCTGTCATGATTTCTCCACGTGGCAAATGAGGATGTAATGTTAGAGGAGGAAGGAGTGGTTGAGGGTGCCCTCAATGTGCAAATTGTAAGAGGATGGGTCACATTCAAGGGAACTTTTCACATTACATGACTTTCCTAACAAGACAATCACTATCACTAAGGCTGAAGTTTTTGAGTCCAATTTCTCTAATGAAGAGCATCACGAATATCTTAGGTCGAAATCCAATAACTTAGCACAATTATCAAGTTCCAATCTATCAACAGTTTGCATTTCACCATCTGTGGAAAATCAAAATCCATGGATAATCAAATCAGGTGCTTCTGACTACATTTCTGGTAATGCATCCTTGTTCTCATCTCTTTTCTTTCCCAAGAATCCTCATTCCATTATCTTAGCTAATGTTTCTAAAGCTCCTTCCAAAGGAATGGGTCAAGTTTCTTTCTCACCTTTTTTAAATTTAAAATTTGTTTTATTTGTCCATTCTTGTACTTTTAACCTTATTTCATTAAGTTAATTAACCAAGTCTTAAAATTGTTCAATAACCTTGATGCCAATTCTTTTATTATACAAGAACGTGGTACGGGACGACTGATTGGACAAGGATATAATATAAAGGTTTATACTATTTTGGAGCTAGGCCACTTATGTCTTGTTTTGCATCTCAAAATCCCAAACTGTTACATGATCGTTTGGGTCATCCTAGCCTGTCAAAATTAAAAAAATTGGTTCCTGAACTTAGTAATCTCCAAATGTTGGAATGTGAGTAATGTCAATTAGGCAAACATATTAAATCATATTTTCTGAAGGAATCTGAGTCAAGATATGATTTTGTCTTTTCTATTATTGATTATGATATTTTGGGGTTTAGTCGTGTCTTATATTTTGATTTCAAATATTTTGTTATTTTCATTGATGAATATTATAGATGTACATGGATTTATCTCATGAAGGATCACTCAGAATTGTTACCTATCTTTGTGTCCTTCTTGAATGAAATAAAAAATCAATTTGGTCAAGCAATTAAAATTTTAAGAAATGACAATGCCAAAAAATATTTTTCCTCTCATTTCTCTACTATTCTAAATTCGCATGGCATTCTACACCAG